CTACTTACTACTTACTACTTACTACTTACTACTTACTACTTACTACTACTACTACTACTACTACTACTACTACTACTACTACTACTACTACTACACTGGGGTGCCGAAAGTTGCGCTTCTTGACTTCTAAAATGGGACAAACCCTTTCCCCTGAGAATCCTACGTGCAACATGTCGACACCCAAGTTGCCGTGCAACATGTCGACACCTAAGTTGCGGTCAGATGTGGAAGTCTGACCGCGCTGTACCTGCCAGGCAAAATGGACGTGTCAATCCGATCCGCTATAGCCCGCAAGTGTCATGTTGGAACAGAGTAAGAAGCGTAAACTTTAGGGTTCTTGAAGTACTACGACTGCTACTACTACTACTACTACTACTACTGCTACTACTACTACTACTACTACTACTACAGTATGTCAGAGTCAGTAATTACATATAGCTGGCAATTCAATACAATTTGTCGCATACCTGCGAATTATCTTCGCTCGACTTGATTGTACCAAGGCACCTTTGACTCCGTGGCATGCCGTGGATGATATCCACGCTGACCCTCGCTTGGCGCTTCCATGGCGAAAGAAACTCGACTCGCTTTTGCACATGTGGTGAATATACCCAAAACATCCATCTCATGAAATGAACGTCGAAATACGTCGACTATCATTGGTATCGTATTTGTTCTTTTTTTTCACAATATGAACTTCAAGAACGATGTATAGAATGGAGCAAAAATTGTCATCCGATGCTCTGTAGAATGTATTTGATTGTATTTGTGTTCGGGTCACTTTTGATCCACACAGCACACACTAATCTTTGAATAGCGTTAATGTCCACACGCTCAAGGCTCAGACAGGCACCGCTTCTGAGGTGTTGGAGGGTGAAAAAGAGGACACCGAAACTGTGTGGCCTTTGTTGTGGCAACTTCCATTGAGGAACAAAAAATTAATTTGCAGATCAGGGCGTCCACTGCCCTGGGAAACACATCTTTTTACCATGCCGAAGGTGGAGGCTTCACCTCAGACCACATAAGTTAATCAAAGAAGTTTCAGCCAAAACTTGCAGCATGCTTGCTCAAAGCCCTCCAAAGGTGTCTGCAATGGCTTGTCAAAGGCTTTCCAAGAATGTCTACATTTGGAGGTGGATGCAAAAAACAAAAAGAAGTCTACTCAGTTTACTGTGTTGTTTTCTGCATCTTCTCGTGGTTCCTGCCTGCGCCAACAGTCTCAATTCTGTTGCAAAACCCTGCGATCCAGCGGAACTCCAAACGCGTAATTCATTCCAATTGTTTCAACTAGGGCAAGGGATGTGGTCCCTGATGCCAATTAAACAGCCCAATGTAAATTCCTACCCAAATCCATCAAAAGCCCCTGCGTGCTGAATCCAATGCAGAGATCTTTCACGAAATGAAACCGCACCCTGGTACTCCGCAGGGCGCCAATCAACAAATTCCACAACTATCCACTGCGTTTCTCAGCCTGCTTCACAGCCTCGCAATCTGAAGCTGTGCTGGTCCGTTGCATGGCGCTCCGTTGCCACCTGTGCATCAACCAGGGATTTCCGGCAGATCACTGCACGAGAACACCAAAAGAGCAAAAATGTCACTCGAAACAAATACTCACACTTCACATCGTTTAAATCTGCCACCCTTTAAGACAAGGCACTCTCGCAGCAGCTGATCACCATGGCGTTGCGCGGCAGGCAGTGCGCCACTGAGGCAGTGCACCTCAAGTGTTTTGACCGAAAACACAAACCGGAAACAGACCACATCTGCTGATCCAAGATCATAAACGATACATATCCCAATGTAATTTCATCTTCACGACACCCATGTTCAGGCTGAGCAGGTATGATCGACAGGCTGCAAACTGAGGAGGCGGGAAACCACTGCAAGTGCGCCATCATTTGAGAGACCTTGTGATGATTTTCCAAGACAGGGAAGCTTGGAATTGGGCGGCAATTTGCAACCTGAGAAATGAGGGGGCGAAAGCCAGCCCCCGCAAACACTTAGAGCAACGTGCTTCGTTCAAAAAACCCCAACAAGCGACGCGAGAGTCCCCAACACCCCTGCACAGACCCCTGACAATACACACTTCGTTCGCAATGTCCTATTGCTAGAGCCCGCTTTTCGGAGGTGCCCTCTATTGCCCCGAGAAGCCTCTACACAAACCACAAAAGGGACACGATCTGGAGGAACTAGGTGCTAGAACCCACTTTTCCAGAGGTGCCCTTTTGCTGCGAGGTGGCCCTCCAAAAGCCGCAGGGGGAAATGAACCCAGAAATGCGGTTTAAGGGTCTTTCTTCGGCTCTCTACATTTAGATCTGTAAAACACACTGTCTTTCCACACCTGCATCGACAATTCATCTCAAGCAGCAGCTTGCAAGGTTCAATCGAAGATGCCTCTGCCACGTCCTGCTTTGTCAAAAGTCTTATTGCTAGAGCCCGCTTTTCGGGGACCTTTCTGCCTCGAGACGGCCTTCGGCACCAACAAAAACTCGTCCTTAAGGCTCTTTCTGTAGGAATTTGGTGCCAGAACCCACTTTTTTAGAGGCGCCGCGCTTTTGCCTCGACATGGCCTCCAAACACGCCACAAGAGGGCACCAGCCCAGAAAAGGCTTCCTGCATCGACAAGTCACTGTTGCCGCAGCCTGCATTTTTCTGATAGGAGTTCTCGCAAGAGCGGTGCTAGCACCCACCTACCGCTTTGCGGAACGGCTAAAGTGCTTTTCTTCGGCTCTCTGCGTCTAGACCTCTGTAAATCACGCTGCTTTTCCTTTCCCGCATGGATCGACTTCACGCACACCCTGACTCCAAGAACCATACTGGAGCCGTCAAAGCACTCCTAAAGATGCCGTCATGCCCAGTTGATGATGCAAAAAATGCTGGTATCAACCGTTGTCCTCATGACATAGCGACTTTTTGTCCACTCATTCTTTTTCGCTCTCCCCAGCAGGCTCCGGGTTCACCCTTCCAAAACCTGTCTTTGTTTAACCTACCCCACCCCACACACCTCCTAAAACTCACTTTGTTTGCCTATAAACAAAACTTCAGCCTAGCCTATCGGCTGGCTTTCGTAACATATGGTAGTAGTTGCGGTAGTTAAGATTGCAAGCTATCAGCACTGCCAAGTTCCTATCTTGGTTACAAAGCTTATTTCGGGATCCTCAAGAGCAGATCTAAGGAAGTCTAATTGTTAAAATGCTTGAGAAAAGTGCTCACTAACACTTCCCACGCGAGGTCTGATGTATTCATCATATTGCCCCTTTAGTGCATGGTAAAGCAGTGTCGCGCAGTCGCCACTCACGCGCCGTGCAGTGCCGTGCGGGAGATCGAGGCTCCACACTCGTAGTTGCACTGGCACACCGGTCAGCTTTGACCTCGGCAATTTGCAGTAGTAAGGCCAGGAGCCCCTAGTAGCGTCCTTGCTCCTAGTAGCGATGCCAGGAGCCCCTAGTAGCGTCCTTGCTCCTTGTTGAACAACTTTAGAACAAAAGCACGAGGAATCAAACAAGGTATATGAGCCACGGGCAAAATTTGTTGGAGTTGCAGGTCATCAGGATTTGGTGAGTGTGCATGATCGTTCTTCACATCCAACACTGTATCGCTTTTGGTGAGTGTGTTATCGTGTTTTGAGAAAAACATACATTTTGAACTCGCATGACCACTCACTGACTATTCATCACTTTCACGAATTTTGAGCCTAGCTCATATAGGGGCCCGTCAATACCAGCCCTTATTAAAGGGGGCCCTTTGTACCTTGTGTTATTCCACCATTTTTGTTCACCACAAATGTCACAGACTGTCACAGATCAAAGCCTTTTTTCTGGTGTTGTCAGCTCAAGTGGCAGCAGTGTCAGACTGGCTCGTAGTTGCTGCGCCACACGAGTTGGAATGCGCAGAATGCCCAAGTGTACCTGCTTAACATTCTTCCACCATCCTTCTCTACTCATCATCAATTCGATAGAAGCGCACCACTGGGCTCCAGTAGAGCATGCGGAGGTTGGCCTTGAAAGAACTTGGAAAATTTGCCAATAGTCAAATGTCAAAGCTTCACAAAATCAAGACAACTTTGCGCGACGCATCAAATTGAGTCTGATCATGCTTTCCAGGATGGTTCAAGGGCTGCAAAGAAACAAAACAACACTTCTCAAAGGGCTCTTCACCCGTGCAGCGCTTGAGAATTCGTTTACCTCACCTGCGCCTCTAGCAGCTGCCCCCAATCCGCCTCAAGTGCCTGGTGTCGCAGTAAACAAAAATATTTCTTTGAGTTACGAATAGCAATGGCCTCCACTTTTCCGCTTTTCCGAAAGACTCCGGCGCCGCAGCTTTCGCGGGGGACGCCATGTCCCTGGAAAATCACTACAGAGTGAGATCACAGAGGTCGGCTCCGCAGGTGAGCGTCGCCTTGAACTTGTGGATGTAGTCCTCAACTTTCCGAAATCTGTCTTCGTCCATGCGGCATGTCAGGCAGTGCGCCCAAAACACTGTGGTCCGTGACGTTGGACGGGCATAATGCGTGGACAAAGGCAGTCCTTCAAGTTTGTGAATCCTGATGAGAAAAAGCCTGAACCACTTGATCCGGTCTTGAAGTTCAAGCTCTGTGGCCTCTGTCCGTGAGAGCCATTGCCAAGAGCTGAAGTTGTGACTGGGTCGGATCCCGCCGCTCCCTGAACACAAAACGAAATCGATCAAAATGTACAGCCAAGGAATATGGACAATCGGTGCGGTGGGCGACTGCAGACTACGGGACCAGGCTGAAAAGGTATCCCAGCCTTGGCCAACAAGTTTGTCTGTTGTCGTCTGTGGTCGCTGCGGGAGCATTGGTAGGGTCGGCTCAAGCAAGGGGAGCGGAAACGCTGTCTGCGGTGGATCGGTAACTATGGCCGGAGTGTCCTTAGTGACAGCATCCTCGCTCACCTGGAGCATGGTTGCGTGCACTTGATCTCTCAGAACTCTAGCCGCCTCGAGATCCGAAACAGCTTGAAGCCAAGTCCGATGCACTTCACTGGGGTACATTGTTCTCCACTGGGCGCCATAGTCGGCGCAGTCGTTCCCGGTGAAAGCCCAAAGATCAAAGATCTATCCAGTGAACATTAGCTTTATTCTGGTGGCTGGCTATCTTAATGACTTGGACTAGCGAAGGTGGTACAGTACGGGCACCGGCAAGCAATTCATGCCACAGATCCTGGTCCTTGCGGTGGACACGGCAAGTTGTTGGATCATGGAGAGCTGCCGTGAGAATGGCTACTACTTGAGCATTATCGCACCAAACTCTCATGGGACGATCTTGGGTGATCGTGTACCGTTCTGCAGTGATGGCCGCTAGAATTTCGGCTCTCCCACTGGTCTGCCGTCGGCCTGGAACGAGGCCCTGCGCAACCGGCCACCACTGTGCGACATCTGAAGGGTCGGCTGCGACGACGCTCCAACCTGCAACTCTGGTATACTTACATGTGGGGTTGACACAGGAACCATCGATGAACAGATCTACAGCGCGAAAGGGAACCGAATCGAACCAACTCGTATGAGTCGGCTGTGTTATGAGCATGCGCTGGAGATCACGAACAGATTGGGGCAAGCCCATCCAGCCATGATAGATGAGGCATTTGGGGAGTCCCCCCTCAAGGATCTTGGTTGTGAGCCACGGGTGTGGTCGTGATCGATCAAAATGGCTACATTCCCATAAGCGGTGGAATTGTGAGTCTGGATTCCCACAGTACTTGCAGGTGAGAGTGCGAGCCTTTTTGTTATGAGTCTGGGTGTCGGCTGTGAAGAACGTGCCATTAAGTACCTTACGCAGGAGGCATGCTTTGCTGGGGGCAAGCTTGGCCATGTTTTCTAAGGTAAAAGAGGCATTGATCCATTCCACGCCCTGGAATGTTTTGCGTTTACTTACACAGACTTGCACATGGCTCTGCCAGCCTTCTAGTAATCTTTGGTGGACCTCAGTGTGACTTCCGTGGAGAAGGTCCAGGGGTTGGGCTTCATGGTCGAGGACCCAGCCATCGCGCAGCCAACTCCATCCGATAGCACGCAGCCGTTCAAGAAGGACATGGCTTGGGCCAGGTCTGGCAGGGAGCTCATTCCAATCACACAACAACTGTTCAAGCGGCAAAAGCCCTGGACTGTTTGCACCAGCAGGTAGCACCCTGGATCGGTCAACGGGCGTTCCACCAGTGAGAGATGGATCATGGGGCTGATGCCAGGTGCATGCACTCTTAACCCGTGAGATGCTTGAACCCTTTGGATAGTGAGGCTTTGGTGGAGCCATACGGGAACGGGCCAACCTTGAACGGCCAAAGTGCTTGGCCGTCCAAGAACATCAGATCTGGTCACTGCTGCACATGGACCTGCTCTGCGTGATCTTTGTCGGCCCTGAGTCCAAATCGAGGTCCCATTCAAAAGATGGTTGCGCGTGCTTCAGTCTGACTGCGCACCAACCTAACTTGCGCAAGGTTCTTTTTGGGCACCCAGATCACTCGGAACTGTGGGTCCGGCTTGCGTCCATCCATGGTCCTGGGTTCGAAATAAATGCCATTAAATGTGGAGCTGGGCATCAGGCGCGGTGCGAATCGGTCAGTGACCCTGATGAGCACGGCAAAGATCTCTGCCTGGGCAGCCGGCGCACGGGCCATTTTGGCGTCCAACATCTGGCGGTCCCAGACGTCCATAATGCGCTCAGTCTGAGAATATGCAGGATCTTGCATGAGGTTGTGGTCAAAAATGGCTTTGACAGGGCGTTGTACGAAAGCACCCCACACCCCCACCCATTCATCTTGGTACACAAGGACCTTGAGCACTTTGGTCTGAATCTCTTCGAGGGCCTAACTCTCGGGTGGAACATTATGCAGGACTTGCTTAGCTCCGAGCTGGAGCGTGGCTGCAGAGACCAACATCGGCTCACTGGCGCTAGCTGACATGGCCGGAATTCGAATTTGCTCAACGGTGGGCGGCAGGCGAGCGTCGGCGTGATCCAAGATGAGCAATGCAATTCCCTCAGCACTGATCGGCGCTGCAAGCCCAAGGAAATGCAGGACCTCATGAATGTTGCACAATGCCACTCCCTGAGCGCGCGCTTCGACTTTGTGCACTGGGATGGCATGAAGCTTCTGACCGTCTTGTTGCACAAAAAATCGAGTCCGGCAATTGGATCTGATCTGCTGTCGGGATGACCGGTGGTTTCGGACCTTTAGCTGCCTTGGTCTTATTAGCCTTGGACGCCATTGGCTTGTCGGTCGCAAGCCGTGCACGAACTGCTGCGTCAATCTCTGAGGCCAGGACGATACGGATCGGTGGAGAGGCCTGGGTAGCAAGTGTCTTCAAGTCTTTCCAAGGCTGGGAGCTGCCTAGCGCTTTCACAATGGCCTCCTGTCCTAGCTTGTTGATGAGGTTTGTTGCACAATCCTGCAATGCGTTCCTGGGCCACTCCATGTTGCTTCAGCACCGACTGCAGGAGCAACTGATCAGGATGCAGGGCATGGTCACGTCGAAGGCACTGCAGGGCAAATGGAACCCTCCATTGATCAGCTTGGGCAGGTGTGACTGCCTTTGGGGACTCATTGCCAGTGGCTCGAGCAAAGAACCAGTTGACGGTCTGAAAACCACAGTCTGCAGCGAACTCGGTGGGCAGTACGAATGCAGAGAAGCCTAGTTCATGTGGTCCACAGGCGTCAATGACCAGCTGTTGAACAGTGTTTGCTACTTCCACCGGCATCATCATAGTTGCTGTCCCTTGCTGCACCTGTAATCCAATCGGAAACCAGTGGCTCCGAGCCAGCACTGGGACCGTGAACAGGGTCAGAGTATGGTCGAGATCATGGCTACGCAGGGACTGGAGCGCCCAGCTTGCAATCTGCTGGTCACTGTCTGCGAAATCTTGGAGTTCAAGTGGATCAGACACCTCACATAGAACTGCATTTCATCAACTGCTACCAACGGGCCTTGGACCAGCAAACCCTGAAACCGGCTCTGACCCTGGAGTGTCAAGACAGTGGATTGGCACGCATGGACTTCCGGACATTTGGGAGTCGTGTGGGTGGCTCCGTTGGCAATGACATACCATGTGGACGGCGTGAGCTTGCTATTCAAGGGGAACGGGAACCCGGTGAGTGTTGTGACTGCGATGGGCTGCGCAAAGCTTGAGAACCCTTCTTCGGCTTGGGACAGCTGACCTACTGTGGTGCCAGAACGGACTTGGACTGGAGTGGGCTTGCACCCCTTGCTACAAACTGAAATAGCGAAGTTGTCGGTCGGCAGCAATGAGATTGGATCAAACCCTCCTGCAACTGAATTGGAGGGTGAGTGTCCCCCCCCATCTTCCCTTGGTGTGTGCGACCCTTGCAGTACGGCAGGTTCGAATTGGCCAGCGCTCAGTGCGCTCGTGCCTCCTTTGCCTTTTCCTCGTCCTGCAAAACCGGGGCCGCTGTGGTGCGGGCTGTCAGGCACTAAATCGATGTCGGATGCTCCCTGCAAGACAGTACCGTGTGTATTGGAATACATGGATGGTTCCTCAGGACATACCAGTGCAGCACAACCCTCTTGATGTGTGGGAACTTCGGGACATCCAGACCTGGTGGACGTGGCGCACGAAGACCTAATTGATGAACCGGTTGGGGACAACTTGCTAAGATCATCCCCCCCTATGCCTTTGCCCCGAACATGGGCTGTGACTCGGCGTGCATGATCATCAGCGTGGTCCTGGGCAGGCGGGCGGTCAAGCCGGGAGGCGCTTTGGGAGGTCTGCTGTGACAAGGACCGGTTGGCGAAAAACTCCAAACCCCCTGTAGGCGAAATGGCTTGAGGCATCTGCGTCATCAATCTTCCTTTTCAAGTGTCCACGATGGTTGGGCGGCTGCGCACGGTCAATCGATCCCTCAGCTGTGTCATGCATGTGGATCATTGGTTCATAGCCTACCCCGAACTTGGCATGAATGGCTGCCTGGAACAACGCAGACTCCTTGGTATGAGTGAACGGATGGAGCATCTCATCACGCGCAGCAAATGTTTCAACCGCAAGCCGCAACAAGCCTTGTTCGGCTAGTGCATGATGCGTCGGCGCTCCAAACGCATTGCCAAAGGCCTGGATGACTTGAGCTACATGCCATAGAGCCTGAGCAGGTGAGGCCATCTGGCCGAGTGCGGTAAGGTCAAGACGCAAGTTTCGGCCCTGATCTTGTCAGATATGCTGTGTCGGAACCATATGCAGAACAGCCACCTCATCAGGGTATATGTGTCTCATGTTAGCTATCTCATGGCCTCGAACTATGGTCGATCCGGTGGTGGGGATCAGGGCCCCGTACAGTCCTTTCTCTTCGAGTCTTCTGGGAGTGAAGCCCCTGCCCTGCAGTCACACGCGCACGCGGTCAGTTGGGACCCCCATGCATGGAGCGCTGTCTGCGACGGTTTGGTGGGGTTCACTGCATTGCATCCTAACCCACCTGGCTGTTCAGCAAAAACTTCAAGCTCGAGCGCCGACAACTTCAACTCTTGGACTTGTTCTGCCGGCCACATGGCAATCTTTGGCAGGAGATGCCGGAACGAAGGCTTGAAGTCCAAGCTTGGGAAGCTCTTCAACGGCGGCATGTTCACGTATGGGTGCGCAATGATCGCCCACCACCTTGTCCTTTTAGCTGGCCAGAATTCGTGCAAATGACAAACCTGCTGTTGGAAGGAGTATCCAGTGAGCTGACAAAAATTGTGCAGCGTGCTTTGAACCCAAGTGGATGTCATAGCTTCCTTCGTGCACTCTAAAATCATGGCTGCAGGTTGGAAAAGGTAGCAGGCCGTGACCATCCCCTCGAAGCTCCTGGCACGTGGGTCCATCTGTTGTCTTTGATCGCCCAGCTGTGAGAACGGCTGGCAGGCAAATCCCCCTGTCAGGATGCAAGGCCTTTCAGTATATGGGATCAGCTGCACTTGTACTTCGGGGCTATCGATGTCACCCTCAATGACTGGCGTCTTTCTGGTCCTAAGCCAGGCAGCATATCGTGGGTTAATCTCAACATGACACCTCACCTTGCAGTGCAGTAGGTGGTACCCAGCAGTCATAACCGCATAGCCAGAACACACGTCAATGATGTCGTTGACATCTTCACTATGCAGCATCTCATGGATTTGCACCGATGCATGACTGGCATCCAGGAAGGTCATATCATACTGCGTCCTTTTGCAGGCATTGATGAGCGTGAACCTATCACCCTTCAGTCGGATGCCCTGCAGCAAAAACTTCTGTTCATGCAACACTGATGTACAGTGGTAAGCATCCCTGACTTGGTCGTAGAACCATGCACGGCCAGCAACCGTCACAGAGGAGCCATCACAAACCATCTCGATCCATGGCTCGGGATCAAACCTAAGCGGGCTACCCCCCCCGAGTCATTGGCATGACCAGGTGAACCAGCTGGGAGGTACTCGGGCCGACACCTAGCAATGGCCTCCAACCTAAGAGCGATGGCCTCCAAAGGAATCTCGAAAATTCCAGCTCGGAATTGTGGAGGGGCTTTGTTACTAGTGGGGCTTTATCATCCAAAGATGATCCAACATCACATCACATCTATAATTATACTATAATCTTGACCATGCAAACCTTGCCCCTTTGTCGATGGTCAAGTTGCGTGCATTTGGTGCTGTCGAGGCTAATACTTGAAAGACCACATGAACTCGGTGAAATGCCGAACTCCCTGAAGTCGTCCAAAGATGTTGCGACGGTTTTTGCGTGTCACCACGTGTTTTCGCGTGTCTTCTTATCAGACCTGCCTCTCGAAAGGCTCTCATCAGCTCATCCTCCGAGGCGGCCTTAGTACAGGACTCATCAGAACTCATTGCTGACGTCACTTCTGCAAAAAAAGAAGTCGCTCAAAGGACGTCCGTCACGAGGGCCCAACACGAGTCGAGCCAAGCACTTCGAAGAGGAGATACCTCTGCAGATTTGAAACGGAGGTATTCCACAACTTCTTCAGTTTGCTCTATCGGATCGCCTGCGTTTCTGAGCAACCATGGCCAAGTTTAAAGAATCAAGCTGATAGGATGTTGGCTTCTGGTGTGATTGGTTGATGTTGTTCTGATCTCATATCGCCGTTGCGTTGATACTATTCCAAAGCAACAGGCACTTGACCAAAACCACATGCAAAGTTGTCATTTACGAGAGGTCTACTGAAAGATTGAAAGACTTTACTTTTAGATTGTGCAGTCCAAAAGTATCTTCAATGATTCAAGGCAGGCATGTCTCAGCTATCTGTGACAGCTTGAGAGCGTCTTGCGATCGGCGCGAGCACATTGAAAGAAACATTCTGAAAATATGGGGAAGCAGCGAGGGCCGACCAAATCGCTTCATGACGCAGTAGACCGTCTCAGGCACATATTCCATAACCTTGGTTTTGAAATACAATTCTGTTAATTATGTTGTCCAATCTCGTGGTCCAGCGACCAAGTACTCTTGCATGATCCAGCAATTGCAAGCTGCTGAGGGCCAAGTCGATCTGAGGCGAAGGCCATATTGAGATACAACTCATCTACCAAGTCGCCAGAGGTGTAGAAGGCATGCTGCACACAAGGCCAAATGGTCCACGTGCAAAACGTGCGTTGTGTACATGTTGAGACTTTAAAATATTAAAGCACCAGCCTTCAGCGTGACAATGTTCGGATGATGCATCTCCCTCCAAACCTGGAGCTCCCTGTTGCGGTAGCGGCGATCCACAAAGACCTGCACTTCTCCCGAGATGTCTGCAATAGCGGTCAGAGGAAGACTTCTAGAGTCTAAACTTAAAACATTGGAGTGTCGCAAACGAGAAACATTTATATAATGTTTATGTTTTGTCATAATCCAGACTAAGAAGCACTGAAATACGACGAGAAATGTACAAAGTTGTGCAGAAGCCGAATTTGCACCGTAAAGACCTTTACACGCCTTCTTGATGGCCACCGTCTCATTCGTCTCCACAATGTGCGCAGAGTACCTACAGTGTTGGGAATCCTTGAGTCCTGGGGCCAAACAAATTGTTGAATGAAACATGCACACGGCAGGTGAGAAAGCACAAGTTCAAAAGCGATGAAGTAAACCATGGACGGCTGAAATCGCGATCAATGGTCGCACACGATTCCAAAGGTGCCGTTGCCAATGACACGCTCCGCATTGTAGGTGCACTGGCAATGAAGAAAGCAAGTTCCGATGTGTTTGAAGTTGCGATGGAAACTCAGAAGGTCAATGAAGGTCATGTCATGTCATGTGTGAAGGTTGCTCAGAAGGAGCATCGACGAAAAGACCTGGAGATCCGATTCCAACGATCCCGTTGTTGCCTGCTCCTCTTCTGGCTCCCTTGGTCACTTGGTGAACACCCATTGACTTCAGCTCATTTATACTTTCACGAATGCTCACACAATATTTTAGAGAAGGAACAAAGTGCACCGAGTAGACGAAGAATGACTGGAGAGCCTTAAACTCCTGGTCCTTCTAGGTGTCTTGATTCTCTGCCTACTTGCCATAGCGATTATTGGCACAGGCTGTAATCAAGAGACAAAAGTTGCAGAAGCGGTAGCTTTTAATTGTCCATGGCAGGTTCAAAGCCAACGCTAATGCTAGCTGATGTGAAAGTCTCAAGGCTCCTGGTGTCCTGTGTTTCGATGAAAAACGACATACTTGGGCACTAGGGAAATCGAGGACCTACACAGTACTACAGCCCCTAGTAGCGTCCTTGCTCCTAGTAGTAATGCAGACAGGTGGCGGAACCGGCCGTTCCTGTCCGTCACATGAAGAAGCGGCTCTCGCTACAAAGAGAGTTTCAGTTCGGAACACTGAACTAGCAACTAGTCATGGTAGTCCTATTCTGTTCAAGCGAGCGGCAGAAGATTACAGTTACAAACAGACAGTAAGGTCTTGAAAACTGTCACAAAGATCTTTCTTATACTAAGGACTAAGGTCACTTAAAACTCAAAAGCAGGAATGAGTGACAGTCTTTGTGCAAGCTGAAGAAAACAAGGCTTCAGCCAGCTGAGTCCTGAGTCACATGGTCAGTGACAAAGAGTCCCTTTTTTGCAAGGATGAGACAACACCGAGCATCGGTTCGAATTTGTGCGCAGCTCCGACATCCTCCAGGAAAATCGTTCGCTCCAAGAGGCCTAATAGCAAACTATGTTAGACCTTTCTTCCTTTTCTTTCGTTGTTTCTAACAACGATGCCGTTGTTACTAGTAGCTTCTTGCCACTATAGTACTGTAGTGATGCCCTTGTTACTAGTGGCGTTTTTTCTGTGTTTTTAATAGCGATGGCAGCAAAATCATGTGAAACCGCTGGTCACTGAGTCGTTGCAGCCGGAGGTTGTCACCATTTCTCTGCAGCACCGAGCTCATTCGTGTCACGCCGCTCTCGGAGCCCCAGGATGCCCTCAAGGCTGAGAAAAAAAGAGATTGGACTCACCTGCTGACCTACTGCTCTTTGAGCGCCCAAGAACAAACAAAGGCTAGCCGCTAAGCGGTGGTTTCAAGAAATGAACTGTTCATAAGTGTTCATTGAGGCTACACGCTGTCATGTGAATGAGGAAATGATGGAAGTGCCCCTCTGCCATGAACCAAGTTCATCGCATCTATCTTCAGGCCTTCCAGTTCCTACATTGTCAATTCGATGCGTTCATCCACCTGCTGAATTGGACTCGTCAGGATCCACGCACCATGAGCAACATCAAGGCTCTCCATGAGTGCAGTCTCTGCCGCGACGTGATCCATCTCCAACTAAGCCTCCTTATCACTTGGAAAGACTGCCCATCCTCGAATGTGCATGTTGCCACCTCACAAATATCGTGATCCTACCTTCAGTGAGGTGCCGATATAATGGGAGACCTGATTTCCTGTTACAGGGCGATTACTGGTAAACTCTACAGCCAACTGGCGGAGTACTCAGGCACACTTCGAGCCTAGGCAATCTCGGGCTGTTGGAGGGTGCACCTTGTCTAAACACGCCTCATCAGTCTGTTGCTGATGTGTGGCAGAAGTGAATCTCTCGGCTCTCATTTGATTCCCAACTTCTGGAAAAGCTACCAAATCATTGCAGTGTGAAAGCTCGAATTCATCCTGGTGCTGCAGTGCTACCCTCGTAGTGTCCATTTCCCGCGCCAGGTGCACCACAGTAGCAGGCAGCAAACAGTCTGGTCTATTTTTATATGCCAAACTAAACGCGCAGCGCTTTGGGCGCTGGTGGTTGCAAGCACGATCACTGAAAAAGTTGGATGACTTGCTCGACTTTGAGCTTCATCGTATTGCCACTGAACTAATTATGCTTTGGTCATTTGTGTAACACATATTAGAATTGTGACATTCCACAACCTGATCACTTGTGTACGTGTTGAATCCGCAGAAATCGTGCAGCCAATGCTTTCAGAGCTTTGGCTGAAAAAGAAATGAATTATATAAGCCAGTCTACTAGCCCGTTCATGGTTCTGGACTGCAGGTCACGCTTGCGACTAGACAATCTCTGCATCTGTAGCATTTGTTGTCTGTTTTGTGACGTCCTCTACTTCAAACATGTTTGCATTGCACAGCCAGCATGTTGTTTTTCCTCCTTTGAAACGGGTTGTGCCTATATCTAAGCACTCTATGTGCAGCGACATGTATAGTCTTATATAGTGAATATGCATGCGTAGTGTATATACCTCTCCGTGGTTAAAATGTCCAGAAGGGGTGTCCTTACAGGTCCTTGATTGTATTCTAGCACCTCTGCTCACAAACATCACAAGTACATATATGAATTCATTCACCTCCATTCACCGTATCTGGCTCGATGCCACTCTTGCTCGTGCAATCCATATCGACACTCCCCCAGTTTCAACATGAGGCCGTTGATCCCAGTCTCAGGGCTTGCGCGGACAGCAAATACGAACGGCAAACTATGCTGGTACACCTCAAACAAATCATTTTCATGCGCACACACGCCCTGATTGTTTATGACCAGAGATTTTTGCAGAGGAAGTGGTTCCCCAACTCAGACTAAACAGCTTCCAAGCTACTGAGAAACTTGAGTCTTGTGTCTAAGGTGGGGAGCCACCACCTCGATACTAAGAACCACCGCAGCCGGAGAAAAAGCAACACCGTCGGCGGTGCACGACCTCAGCTGTGTTTTATTGATCAGTGTGTGACTAGTCGACTATGGCACTTCCAAGCAAGTGAGGTTCAGGATTGGTTGGAGGCTGCTAAGGCGGAATGGAATTCATAGAAATGAGACGCGAAAGAAGTTTGAAGTCCGACGTGAAAAATATTGAAGGCATTTCTCAATGATCTATATTGCAGAGCGGCCTCAACTTCCTCGAGCTTTGATCGGTGGTGCGTGTTTGGTAGCTCCAAGGCCTGTCACTCAGAAGCTCAACAAAAGAACCACAAATTCGGTTCTTTTGCACATGTGGAATTGAACATGGGATGTCTTGTTGACTTCCTTTGGAGTAGATGCAGTGAGTTGCCCGCATTGTGAATTTACCACCCACAACGAGTATGACAGTATAAGAGTGTGACCATTTGTCCAAAATAGACGACTTACTGCGTATCAATGTAAGCTCTAGAGGTGTGTCGCTCACCGTGTCATAAACATGACATCTCACCCCTCCCTGGACCATGAGGGCTCCTGGCCTTACTACTAGTAACGAGAAGCTACTAGGGGCTCCTGGCCTTACTACTAGGAGTTACTAGGAACAAGGACGCTACTAGGAGCAAAGGGCATCGCTACAACGAGCAAGGACGCTACTAGGATACTCTGCCTCCAAATCGGCGTTGCTGAGGGAGTCCTTCCGAAGGCGAAAAGTACCACGTCCACTAACGCAACCACAGGACTGACCGGTGAAGTATCAAAAAAACTACTTATCGCATCAAGAAAAACTTATTCAAGGGGATCAATAAAAAACTAAATACTTAATCAAAAAATAATAATTCTACCACGAACCCTCTTTGGGCTGGGCGTCGGCCTGTATACTAATCTCTTTCCTCCTGCCTGGCCTCCTGGCTAACAGGCAGTTTCCGCTCAGAGTCGAAATTCGTGGCAGGAGTCTTGTGGCACAGGGGGGGTTGGGGGGAGGGGGACGCGCCTCCCCCTATGAGCAGACACGGCTAACACTTTCAGGTATGCGCTACATTATTCTGAACTAACGTGAGTGATTAAGTGTTTGAAGGTTTTTTCTTTTCTGATTCTTGGAGTAATTTCATTCTATTTCATACATTTTGTCAATTCTTTAGTGCATTATATTAAATCATTGTTCCTGTCTCTTCCTGGCTTTCTGGCCTCTTTTTTAGAACAGCAGCAGCTTTAGTTTTTAAAAGCCAAGTTTCCGCTCAAATCTTCCTGTGTGTCACAAAAGGGTGAGTCAAGTTGAAATGGCAACATCCTTCTCTAAATTTTATCCCTGCATGGCCCACAAAAGGGTGAGTCAAGTTGAAATGGCAACATCCGGGTGGCTCACCAAAGGGTGAGTCAAGCTGAAATGGCAACATCCTTCTCTAAATTTTACCCCTGCATGGCCCACAAAAGGGTCAGTCAAGTTGAAATGGCAACATCCTTCTCTAAATTTTCTGCATCACAAAAGGGTGAGTGAACTTGGCATAGCCACTTCCCTCTCTAAGTTTTACCCCTGCATGGCCCACAAAAGGGTGAGTCAAGTTGGACAAGTTGAAATGGCAACATCCTTCTCTAAATTTTACCCCTGCATGGCCCACGAAAGGGTGAGTCAACTTGGCATGGCCACTTCCCTGTCTAAATTTTAGCCCTGCGTTGCCCACAAAAGGGTGAGTCAAGTTGGGGTGGCGAGTGAATGAGTGAGTAAGTCATGTCACTGAGTCAGTGACGAGTGTCTGAGAACGAAAGTGAGGGAACGAGTGATTCGGTCAGCAATCAAAGGAGTGAGTGAGTGAGTGAGTGAGTGAGTGAGTCAGTGAGTGAGTGAGTGAGTGAGGGAGTGAGTGAGTGAGTGGGTGGGT